TGCTCCAAAGACTAACCCCACTTGCTGAAGCTCAGACAAGTAACTGGGTTCAGAGTTTTTGCAAAGGCACAAGCTGAGTTTTGGCCTGGAAAGGCACAGAATACTCACTTGTGCTTCCTTGAAGACAATGCATCTTGTAGGGGGAATATTGACGATGGGTTTCATCTCACACAGCTCTTCATAGGTCTTCCTCTCAGCTCCTTCCCCATAGATTGCACAGATCTTCAGGGCATTCTCATCTCTTTCATCATCTTTCTCACTGTCCTCCTCTGTTTCCATAAGTGCCACCAGATTCTTCAGTTCATCCTTCCACTCCTGTTGGCACACATCAAATACACAGAATGGTAACAGCTTGAGTGCCAGGAAGGGGGAAGGAAAGGATGGAGCCTAAGCAAGCTGGAGCAAGACAGTCAGCACATGGGCACAGCTGAGGTGCCTCGGTCCTTCAGGAGAGGAGAGCAAGGAAGAAGTTATATTGCTTCTCTCCTTGTGCACCTAAACCAGTGGGAACTACTGCCAGGGTCTGCAGGAACACTTCTCCAGGAAGACTCTGGCCATCTGCTATTAAATCCTCCCCCATGCCCAAGTCCCTTCCAGAAGGCTGAACTTCCCTCTGGAGAAGCCCTCCAAGACTAGGACAGACTATTTTCAGGGCTGGACAGCAATAAGATGAGAGGCAATGGATACAAAGTGAAACACAGGAAACTCTAGTTGAATTTGAGGAAAAAGATCTTGTCTGTGAGAGGAACAGAGCATTGGAGCAGCTTGGAGCAGGTTGTCTAGAGAGGGTCCTTCCTTTCCCCCTCAAGGGCACAATAACCGTGAATATTATCCTTGCCTCATCACTCAGGAGGTAAATTTTTGCTTCATAGTATTTGTTGCGGCTTGTGTTGACCTGCACCACACAAGATGTGCAGGTTTGGCTCCCAGATACTGGCAAGAAGTATTTTTTTTCAAGAATCGCATTCAGTAATGTGCTTTTCCCAGCCCCAGTGCTGCCAAACAGACCAACACAAATGGGATCCTTCAAAACATCTGGCTTCAGGCCTGCAAGGCGGTTCCTGAGGAGGAAGAGGGAAGAAAGGGTGATTTAAATGACTCCCTTGGGAGGGAGTCATTGCATTTGAAAAAGGTGAAGCAGATTTTGTTATATCTACAGAGGAGATTTTCAGCTGGAATCTGCGGGATCTGGCTCACTGGACATCATATAGACCTTCTAAAGGACATTTCACCTTATCAGGAAACAGCGTTTATTGTCTTTGGAAAAGAATTCCAGGAAATTCTGCATAGCAAGAATTCTGGCTGCAGCCTGGACCTCTTTCTGGACAAGAAGTCTTCCCTTGGGCCTAGGGAGGAGCGTGCCCGTGGGTTTTCAGGAGTGCTCTTTGGCCAGAGTGGACCCTTGTGGCATCAAGAGATGCTACCTGAGATAATAATACATTCCGAGGTTGTGTAGCTGCAAGATAGAACTTTCCCGAAAATAGGGATATCTCGCAACTGTCCAGACTCCTAAACATCTTCCTGAAATACCTGCTGCACATCCAACTCAGCACTTCCTCTTTTGCCTGACAAGTGCAGCCTGGCTCAAAAACCCAGGGGTAAGGCAAGAACTCTGGATGTCCTCTTTCCATGGAAGAACAACAAAAAAAAAAAACATTCCCTTTGGCAAGGAAAAATAATAAAAAAAGGGCTGAGAACTCACTTGATATATTGAAACCCATCTGATGTCCCAGATGTGTCATGTCGAGAGAGGAATGCTGAGAGCTTCCCGTAGGCCCGATCCAGGATGATCCTTAGCTCCTTTTGGAACTTTTTACCTGGAAGGAGGGCATGGTTGTACAATCATCAGAGCTTGTGTCCATGTCACCATGTCCTAGTGCGGCACCTCCCAAACTAGCAGCCCTCAGCAGAATCCCCCTCAAAACCCAGCCCACAAGTATCAAGCAGAACACTGCGCACGCGATTTGCAGCATGGATGGCCCCAAAACATGGTTAATGTGGGTGGTTTGGTGGGCAGGAGACCAGCAATGAAGAGCCTGAAGGATGGTGTCCCTTGGCCCCAGAGGACTGCTTCACCCTTTCAAGGGGCGGCAACAGGAAAGGTGTGAGAGCCACTGAGATGGTGACAAGGAAATCCCATGGCAAGCACAGATGCTTCCACATCACTTTCTGCTGGCCCCATCCCATGCAGACCCATTTGCACCCACAAGCTACAGCTGACCCCTGGGGCACCTTATGTATGTGCAGAGCAGCTTTTCCTCCAAACATGCCCCACCGGGGTCTGCCAACACTACTCTTAGGCATACTCACAGTTCCTCAGTTCCTCTTGCCCCTCTTCATCTGAATTTGGACCTTTGCAGAACTTCTTCTTTTTTCTGGGAGTCTCTACCACTGAATCATCATTGTTACCTTGTCAGAGAAGACAAAATTCTCATCAGCACCTTAAGTCTCCCAAGAGACTTTGCAACACAGAGCTCATGCCTGGCTGCTCTGGGAAAGGATCTGTTTAAGCTCCTGACCTTCTAGCTGCTCCTGCTGGGAGCAAAAGCCCGGGGAAGGAAAAGCATGATGCCTCTTACCTAACCCAAACCTGCTCCCATTTCCCACAGGAGACCACCCGGGAGCTCCCCCAAATCTCTCTTTTCAGAACTTGGAAAGAGGATGCTAACTATGAATCTGTGGACTTCTTCTGCACCAGGTGCAAGCTGGAGAACAGGAAATCACTGCATCCAGGATGCCCTGCTCTGCAGATGCCAGGGCATGTGTGGGACAGCAGAACACAATCTCCTACCTTGTTGCTCTGGTCTTTTCTCTGCCATGGTTAGACCAGGGGTGGCCTTGGGCGCGCTTGATGGGCTCTGATGACCACTGATTTGAAACTGGGATGGGTGCAGATCAGGAGGCACCCTGGTGGCTTCAGGAGGAAAAGAGATATATATAAGATGTAAAAGTATTGCAAGCTCCTCCTGTCATGGTTACAGTTTTCATCCAGGCTCTCCTTGATTTGAGGAAGATGCTCCTTCAGCTCCACAGAAGATTTTTAGGAATTTTTATGCTTCTAGTTTGTTTGCAGACCACCATGGTCTTGCCTTAAAATCTCCCTGGGAGCAGCGTCAGCTACATTTGCATAATTTTAAGTGAGTGGGAGTGGCAAAAGACAGAGAGCCTTGGAAAAAAAGCACCCAGAGAGTGACTGTTGAGCAATATAGACAAAAACTCCTGAAAAACTTGCTCTTAAACACAAATTTCCTGAAGGAGAATAACTGTCACCTGCTCTATGAAGACATACTGTGCTGCCGATCATAAGAGCCCTATCATAGAGTCATAGAATCATTAAAGTTGTAAGAGGCCTGTAGAAGTCATCTAGTCCAACCCCCCTGCACACACAGGGCTTTAAGGATTTCCAGAGGCGGAGATTTCACATTCCCTATAGAAAATGAGACTTTATTGTCTTAAAAACAGGGTTTTTTTGAAAAAAAAAAAA